GCGGTGCAACCGCCCCAGCCTTTGTCCCGGAAGCTGGGAGGGAGCCAAGCAGAGCAGAAGGCGTCCCGGCCTCCTCCCTCACCATTGGCTTGGCACTGCCAGCGCCCACGCGGACGCACCAGCAAGGCCCCCACGGCCGGGTGCGGCTGGTGGCAGTGCCATCCCCCCCGCTCCCGCACGCAGATGCTCTCCCTGCATGCAGCCACATTTCCTCGCCCGAGGGGTGCAGATCCCAGTAGAGGGGTATCAGCTGTTACTGGCATGACTGGGAACTCACTGGTTATTTTCCAGGGCTCCTGCACACTCATTTGAAGACATTTCTTAACAAAAGGGCTAAGAACATCCTATGGCTTCCTCTCCGCTCCCTCCCAGGCCCCCACAGCATCCCCACACATGTCTCAAGTAACACAAAACGGGGTTCCTCCATGCGATCAGGAGTTGCTGGGAAGCAGGACCAGGAGCAGGACCAGGGGGATGGCACAAAAAGCCCATGGTTTGTCCTTACTAGGGAAAAGGAGACAATACCGCAGTAGGATATGAGGCATGTCCCAGGGCTCGATCCCCTCCAGCGCTGGAGCCACACTCTTGCTCCGGCATCTCAGCAGCTTCCCGGCCACAGCACCCCATCACACGATGCCGCAGCCCCCCTCAAGCCTACAACAGGGCCAGGCAATATTTTCAGCAGAGTCCGAGCACACCCAAGCACGTTCACCAGGGTCCACTTGCCCATCACACTGCAAACCCCAGGCTGGACCATGGGTGAGATGGGTTTTGCCGCCACCACGCCAGCTCTGCAGAGCTCCCACAGCAAGGACCAAAGGGGCTGAGCATGGTGAGGTGGGTGCCAAATCCCACCTGGAGCCAGGCTCTGTCCTCACCACCACGCTGTCCCTGCTGCTGGCCAGCCTTGGAGACCAGAGCCGCTCACACCTTCCTCTCCAGCTCCCATAATCAGCTTAAACCAAAACACTTCTTTCTCCTTCCTGTGCAAAATGGCCCGACAATAGCCTTGAGCAGCAAAACCCAGCAGGAAAAGGGAACAGGAACTGGAGCTGTAAACACCTCTGCACAGCCCCAAGCCTTCGCGTCCCTCTGAGCTGCGGGAGGAACGCAGCTCCCCGTGCCGCGGTCCACCTCCTCCTCCGTAAGCGTCCCAGCTCCGGGCTCCCTGGGAGGATGATGCAGTGGGGAGCCGGGGCAGCTCTCCAAGCCCGGCTCCTCCGTACCGGGGCACCAGCGAGCAGCAGAGCATCATCCCTGGAGCAAACCCTGCCAGCCACAGGGCTCGCAGCCACCCTGGGCGAGCACAAAGGGGGTGCTAATGCAGGAGCAAGCAGACGCTCTTGCCCCTCAGCAAGGCAGTGGCAGGACAGATGGCTGCTCAGGGTACCAGCCTCTGCTGGATGAGAGGGAAAG